CCGTTTATTCGCAACCAAGTCGATATATTCGGTGAATCTTTGACGTTCATCCGAAGTCAATTCGTATAAGGCAGAGGACCTCTGATTGATATTCCGCTGCAGTTCGGGCATACGTGATCTGATAGAATCAGCACAATTCATTGCATGGCGTTGAAGGGACTTCGTATTTGGATATATATGATTGCGTCGCAGTGCTTTCCAGAACCACTTTGGATACTGATGATTGGAGACGCAATCCTCGAAAAAGCCAACTTTCGCTTTCCCCACAGCAAGCTTGACAGAGTACCGCAGAAACCCATTGAGTTCCTTGACTGTCGAGGGGTCCTTGCTACGTTTCAATTCATGGATAATCCCCATCCAGGCATTAATGATCCCGCATCTGGCCACTTCTATGTGCATATACCAGTTCACCTGCTGCTGTGGAGCCAGGTACATCGGTCGTTCGACGCGCATCCTGTCCAAGAGAATTCAAGAACATTATCCAGCATGGTTGCGAAAAGGCAATACTGGTGCAATAAGGAGTGCGATAATTGAACACCTGGTCAACACTGATCATTGCATTTCAACGAACGCCTCCTTCAAAGTAATCTACAGAGTCAAGAATAACATATCAAAGGCAATACGGTTTCGTCTTCTTTGCATCGCTGAAGCTCTGGCCATTCACATGGAAAAACCGGAGCTGTGCATACAAAAGAAGATTACTCAACCACTTCTACTCTCATGGTAACAATGTTTTGATTTGTTTTGAGCTTTTATTTTTATTTTGATGACTTAATTTTGTTTCTTCGCCTGTTCCTTAATTGCTTATAATTCTTGTATTCATTTAGAACTCTTACATAGTTTCGTATTATCTACTTTGTTTCTATGTGCATCCTGAGTAAAACTCACTCATCAAACTATTCATATATATATTAATCATCAGTTAAGGAGAAATAACTCACTGATTGTTTCAATATATAATTATTAGTGAAATGAATAATTCATTACACTGAACAATAAATATCGCGTATTTATTACAGACGAGCAGCAGTAAGAATTGTTGTCTTCAAACAAGACGTTTTCTAGCTTCTTCATATCCTGCTTCTATATGACTTCCATGATTTAATTTGCTTTACAAGCCAGTCCTTCTTTTCTTGTTTTGATTCATTAAGCTTACTGTCAAATTTTGGTTAAAAAAGATGCTCTGAATTATTCATTAAATATCTTTGAGGGCTGTTTATTTTTTCATGAATTTTTCCTTCACGAAACCGGCTACATTCATATTACGATAAGTTTTATGTTACATAAATATTTATTTCACCAGCGCTTTGGTTAACTAAACATCATCGCTGAAAACCTCTCGGTAAACTATGAAATTATGCATATTCATCAAATAGAAGACAAGATATAATTACAGTATCCCTTGCTTGATGAAGTCAGATGTCCCCTTTGCGGGAGACAGGGGGAAATTCGGTGCTAATAATTGTGAACATGTCTTAGAACCTTCAGAAGACAAATCTCTGCAAGCTCTTATACCACTCCATGAGCTCAAGTAGAGTGCTTGTATTAGCGTCACATACTTAATTGACACCTCCTTCATGGTGAGATATTACTACAGTAACTCGTGTTGTTGTTTTTTTCCTTCTTTACACTTCGAGTGTAACATAGGGCTTCAAGCTAGAGCTTTGAGGTTTCGGTAGTAGTGGTATTAACGTTTATGGAGTGAGGTTGTCACCTTCACGCTCAATCTTCCCCCTTTACTTACATTACTACCGGCTAAGAGGAGTTTGAGGATGCGATGTTGGTGGGAGATCAAACTCCATACCACATTCGTTACTGGCAAGCATTCTACCACTGAGCCGTCGATGCACCAGCAGGAATCTCAACCCCTTCGGATCTACGTCTCGGGCTTGTTTCCACTAGTCAGCAAGAGGTATCTACAACCTTCAGGGAATTAACTTCCCTTCTGAGAGTCGAGCGTGAATCACTCAGTACTTCAGTCACACATGTTACCAATTAGCTACAAGAGCTCACCTTCGGGTCAACAGATATGCCAAGTATGGTCATATTTGAGAATTGATCAAAAAGTAGAGAAGGGTGGTCAATACACCATTGTCTTAGCATACAAGAGATTCAGATGTTCATAGGATTTTTTTTTCATCTTTACCACTTAGTCTATACAAGATTATGGCACCTAGAAATTCAAATATGCTATGATAGGCTTACATAAAAGCGAATCCCGTTTTAATGACTACCACAGGGAGATTTATATCTTTTCTTATCAACTGGGATGAGTAAAGGATTTGGTCATTTGAGATTCTCAAACATTAAATAACACATTGATTAATCTGACTAATTACCTATCTACACCATTCTCTGACACTTCTGGAGTTGTGTCATCAGATTTTGATGCATGTATTTGTATTTGATTAGCAATATGGTTTATAATCTCGATTGGAATAGGAAGATTGTTATATTCTTACCATACAGACTTAATTTCGGTTAGTGAGCAATTTTGTGTTGATCTAAAGAGTCCTCAAACTGTTTTGTTCAACCCTACAGTTATTTCCTCTCAGGAATTATTGGAGCTCCAGCCTTCCAAAAAAGAACACTAAATGGTGACCAGAAATGGATGAAAGATTCGAGTCTATGTCAGTGAATACCAATATGTTATGCTGAGAATCCACGAATCTACAGGCTGAATGCTTGGGTACAAATAGTGGAGAAGGTCTAAGAAACTAGTATGAAGTGGCTATCAGAAACGTTTCCATTTTTGACATTTTTACATTTTACATTGATTTACGACAAGATCCCTTTTAATGATAGTGAAGTCAGTTTAAATCAAATAACTATGAATATTTTTCATTGTTGATCTCATTAGAAACCAACATTAGCTAGAAAGATCATTATAAACCAGAGAACACTTGACAGCTATTTCGTTCTGGTTTGACACTCTTCAACAGTGTACACAGACAACGCCACCATGGATCGAACTCGGGACTTCGAGGTTCCCAAAGTAACTTCGTTGACCATTCAGCCAATTGACCTGAAATTCAGTGACTTGTATATTCTAACTTTCTCAATTCCTGATAAAACAATCACGTCAACCAGCCAATCCAATCGATAAGCGTACACTTTATGTTGACGTGACCGACCTTATTGATAAGAAGCTTTTCAGTACAGCTCCAGGAAATCCAACCAGCAGCCATCTAATGATGTAAAGACTGATAATTAGATTATTAGTTTTTGTAGAAATTTGGATCATTTTCATTGTAGATGTTATTAAGATCTAACACATGTTAAAGATGAGTTCGTGATCTAACTTGAAACCAATCACATTCTTACAAACTAATCTTTAAAAATAAAGAATGACATGTTAAATGCTACAGATTACAACTACATATAGTGTCACATTTGTCACAGGATTTCATCATATGCTGACATCGATTAACGAGCTACTGGAATACGTAGGAGTATTTTAATGGCAGCTGTTTCGTCCCAGTTTAGGACTCTTCATAAGTACGCACCTACCGCCAGGGTTCTAATCCAGGACCTTCCGGTTACAGGGCGTGCAGATAGATGATTATACCACTGGGACCACTAGTGGGATTGAGCAGGTCACGCGTGAGAACATATACTCTCCACCGGTAACACTGGCTAGTGCCAGACACACTATGTTGTGAATTGGCAGCAGTCGGAATAAATGGGTTGGCCATTGGATTGGGTCCCAGTGTCTGAATGGTCTACGAGGTTGCCTTGTCACCGGTAGATCCTGTCTTCGAATCCTGGCGGTATGGGAGTACTGCTGAAAAGTCCAGAAATAGGATGGGACAGCTGGCTGTCTTGTATTCCCAGCTAGTTTTCCAATGGTTCTCTAGCCCATATCAGCTCATAATGAAGTCCGACAACTGGACAAATTGCTGAAAATTCAACAATTGAATATCAGATTTATAAATCGCTAATTTTAGAATATACACATCTGATTATGGGAAATATTAAAAAGGCACTTGCAAGAAACAAAACTTTCTCTTCGATGAACTCATCAACCAGGTAGCTGTACATTCGTGTAGTTAATAGTAAATTGGGGAGAATGTTCCAGAACTACTTCTGGTCAAGGGTCAAATTAATAAAATTACAAATTATAATTAGCAGGAAGATCGGATAGAAAAGACATTGTGGGATCATAATTACTGCAAAACTTGAATGTTTATGCAAATAGGGATTAAAAAAGTAAAAATACCAGAAACAAACAGGAAGACTGGATAAAAAAGGAGTGGAATAATCACTACTGACAGAAATGACGTTATTACAGTGACCATGGTGGAGACAATGGTTGGAAGTATTTCTTTTAAATATATATCATGGACTTAAACGTTTGGACCCTTGTTGCTCCAGCTATGCCCAGCCAGATGCCTTGATGTCACTCACTTTGAGAGTTTTCATCGCGTCTTGTGTGTGTGACTTTCAAGGATTTTTCAAATGCAGCTGTATCTCCTGAATTCACCAGATCTTCTTTTACAGAACTATAAACATACATACATATCCTCTTTGCTAGCCATCCTGCACAGTGTTTTCGAGTCGAACTTCCTGTCTTTTTTCACTATTGCTACCTTTTTAATCCTTAATGGCACAACAAAACAGTTAATTTTCTCAGTAGTTATGATTCTACAATATTTTATTCAGCAATTGTAATAATTTGTTCCTTGACCGATCGGAAATAGTTCTGGAACATTCTTAGCCATGTACAATAAGTACACAAATGTACAGCTATCTAGTTGACAACTTTGTCGAAAAGAAAATTTTCTTCACTGCAGCTATATTTTTTTATCTTTTGCACTATCGGTTTATTGTCATTATAGGTAATTAATATACGTGAAAAAAAGCATCTTTTTAAGATTTATTTTCACTTTATTTGCCTTCCTAATGAAAATTAATGTTTACTCTCTATTGAAGATTTTCAATTGCTTCACTTGACTTCTGTTTCCATTTTTTTCCACCTCTCTTTACAATTTATTTTAAAGATTCAGGTGCCTTGTAAACCAACTTTTCGTGAAGCCTATATTCGTGACTATCGTACAGAGAAGACAGTAAGTGTTGTCTTTTAAATTACTAAATTATTTGTGAAATATAATTTTATTTCTTCATATTTTCAGCACACATAGGTCGACAACCTTTAGAAACATACGTCTATGGGTGTTTTATTTTATTTTCCTATTCATCTTTCTCCCCAGTGGACATTACTATGTGCGAAATCCTGTTTGTTTTTTGTTTTTTATTTTGTGTGGTTTTGTTCTCTCAGCCGAATGATTCAATTAAGTGGCCGCTTTCATTACCCTTCTAGACACAACATCATTGTCAGGGTTGATTTTAATATGAAGTAAATTTACTTGATTTTTGTTATGTACTCGTCGCCAAATTATTGCTATGTACTGATCGAGAATTTAATAGTCCTGACGCAAGAAGACCACTAGGTTTGCGATGATACTTCTATTTTCCAAACACAAGGAGAAGCAATAAGTGGTATCACACCAAAGTAAGTAGACACACAAGATTGTGTGAGCGAAATATATATGAATTTCCAGACAAGTGTGTGAACAAATCAATGGACAGTCTTAACATGAATGGCTAATTATAATGAAGTATCGATCCATATATACATAGCAAAATATAGCAGACATGTCAACAACCACACATAATATGGATATATATCACCAAGCAACGGAGTGTTAACAAACACTTATATTATATATAATATAAGGGGAATATACATTGTTAAAGGAGACAGGTTCATCAAAGTGAAATAGTCACAGACTAAGCGAGCAAACACAAAGAGAGATCACCATCCACATATATATATATATATATAAATATATATATATATATATATATATATATATATATATATGGATACATATCAATTTTGTGTACGTACAGTGAGTAGTTAACATAACATAACATAACATAAGCTTTATTCCAAATCAGTACTTGTGATACAGAATGGAATTCTCAGCATTTTACTACAATATTGCATCCAGTTTTTTTTTTTTTACATTAACAATAAATAAAGTTCTACATAGTTTAAAGTTATCTCAACAACATATTAGTATGTCGGTAGCAAAGCCAAAATTAAAGTGTTTGAAGGTGTTAGAAAAGTAGATACTACTAGCATATTTACTGGCGTAAGCGATAGCAAAATGTTAGAGATGTACAGAGTGTGAAAGAACGAACAAGAATGTTTTAAGTAGAGTTTGCAAGGAAGAGAGAAACAAAACAGCACATAACAAAAATAAATACAGAATAAAAGAGCGAGAAAACGTTGTACCTATAAATGATGTGAGTTGGAAAGACAAGATCCATTGGTTCTACTGACTATTTAATAAGTTAAAGGTTTCATGCCTGATGCATCCTTAGTTCAAAGTTTTAAGTTGCCCTAATTGTACCGTCACCAAAAACTTCTTCTCTACTGAATGTTCATTTAAACAATAGTGCTGATTGTTGGGACAAAGTAGCACAAATTACGAAGAATATCAATTAAACTGGTGAAAATATAGTTTCATACAATTGGTCACCTTGATAAATTTCGATAAAGAAAGGAAGAAAGAAACACAGCAATGCAGCATAAACTGATAACATCATTCTTTTTCACAGGTTCTCATCAGCTGCAAACCACCTGGAATTACAATAATTATAAAAAATGACAATAACATACTTTGATAACTGAATAGTAGTAGGGAAAATACTATGATATATAAGCATTACAGTTTTTGTGTGAAGTTACCATCAATATATATGCTTTAAAAGAAGAAACGGAAGGAGGTGTCAGAGAAGAAGACAGAAAACAGATGACTCTAGTTAACAGTTTTAGCAACTAAAGAAGGTTATAATTTATAAGACTGAAAACTTGCTCAATGATCTGAAATCACTAATATGGATGACTGATCAATGTAATCAAAATGCAATTGTTTCTAAGGTATTGAGAAACTGATTACACTCTCTTTCTGTAAGTATAAGTCTCTTTTGAAACGTTTGATTCCAATCGTTTTAGTAGGTTGTAGTTATTTTTTTGCCGTCCTTTGTATGTTGAATATTTTGAAAGATTTGAAAATCTTGACAAAATACCCTGTGTCAACAAGGTGTTTGGAAATCGCAGTTTGCAAATATTTGCTGTCTTTCAGGCATAAGTTTCTCCGCCTATGCTGAGGAAACCGTATAGAAACCCCTTTTTCTGTTCTCACAGTATATACTTGCTTCTGCGCAGTTGAAGATGACATCAGAAGGGGACTTATCCATTCTAGACTGGCTTATAGACCAGATGCCGATGTATAATGGTATAAGCTTAGCCACAAGGAAGTATCTTTTTATTACTCCTTTCAATCTTTTTTTCATCTTTTTCGACACTGCTGCTCCTTTTTGAATGGAAGACAAATAAACACTTTCTTCTTTTCTCCAATTTATGAGTGTTTCAATTTCTTGTCTTTTTCTTTTCTACACTTTTGGATAAATCCCCAAAGTATTTCTCAGCAGCGCTTAATTCTTCTTCCAGTATCCTGAGTGAACATAGCTTTCTGACAGTGTCCTCACTAATTCATGCTTAAAACGTATGGAACAGAGGCTATTTTAGTGGATATATTGTTCAGGTCCAGGTTTTTTTTCTATGGTGGACGAATTTTTCGATCGTACTGTTGTTTTTTCTTCTTACATTAAGATCCAGGAAGTGGAACTCATTGTTGTGTCCATATTCAATGGTAAATTTACCGTCTGGGTAGATCGCATTGAAACAGTCAAATTGTAACAACAGAAGACAAGGGCCGGCAACAGATCGTTTTATTACGGAAATCAGCACGTGTTTATATATATTTCATGTACACTATTATAGCTTATTCAAGCAGACAAACAAAGTCTTCTGATTGATTGTTTCTTACTCAAGATGACTGGTTTCTCGGAAAGTTAAGCCATATATCTGAGAATCTTATTTGCTCACGTTCAGTCTGCTGTGATTGGTTGTTGAATCAGCCTTGTTCATATTTTCTCACGGCCAATATTAGTGACCTAGACATTGACGTAAATTAATGTCTACCAATTGGCTAGTAGCCTGCTCTCACCACAAAATAACAAAGATGCGTGATTCCTGTCGTTGCAAACAACAAACGTATCATTAACATATCAGCAATAGTAGGTTGTTTCATTGACAGCAGAACTCAGTCACGTCTGTTCTAAATAACCCATTAAGACTACCAATAAGAGTTGCTATGTGAACTTATAAGCCAATAATAATATTTACTAGAAATTTCTGTTTAACTAGTTTTTTCTTTGCCTCCTGTTTTCTGTACTACTTTGAAAACATATAAATTGATGGTAACTTAAACTAAAACTTCTGACTCTTGCATCTAGGATGGGTTAATTTCTCTAAAGATTTTCTCCACTATCATTCAAACACTGAAACTATGCTATTGTCACTTTTATAATCCTTGCAGTTGATGAGAACTTGTGCAGTAGAATGATGATATCATTTTACACTGCAAATTCGGTCCATTTTTCTTTTAATGAGTTTGATCACACATTGATATCAGTTAGAGAACTATTGAAAACCAACACTGGAGTACTGGACAGCTGTTTTATCCTAGTTTCTCGGGAATCATCCACAGTACGCACCCACCGTCTAACCTTGGAACTTCGGGTTACACGACAAGCTCCTCTACTATTCAGCTACTGGGACCTGATTCAGTGGCCGATTGCCTCCAACCATCTTATATCATCAAACCAGTGTGCACCGTGATGGCAAGCCATCTAGAATGTCGGCCACATTGTAAATCTGACTGACAGAATTCAGTCTGCACTGAAGAAAGGATAACACACGTTACACTAGTTACTAGTGTCCAATCAAAGGTTCCTGTATATTTATGCTGTGCTATGCATCCTATGCATAGAGTCACTTTTCAGTATTATTTAGAATTGAGTACGAATTTCGGAAAAAAATTGATGAACACAACCATGTTGAAGTACTGCCAGATTTGAAATTGATCATTACTGAAACATAAACAGAAACAGAATACCTTTTCGTCAGTTATTCTTACGAGAAGTACACTAATGGCATGCTTCATACTTGGTCTAACAAAAACCTCCATCATTATTATTGCACAGGAGTTCCCTTGTTCACATTGTTTTAATCAATTAAATCATGACCTTGAATGGTATTCTTTACCCTCATGAATAATTTAAAATGCCTATAATCTGCTGGTTTGCAAGTTTCTACTAAACATGAAAAAAAAGAAGAATAATCATGCTTGGCAACACATCCCAATACATCAGATAACTGTTTGTGAATTGTGTCGTTTTGTCTCCAATTGTACGCCTGAAATTCTTTTCACTTTGCTGAGGTCAATGAAACTAAATAGTATTCCAGTATATATGCATATTTATACTTGAAAAACAGGTCACCACTGTCTTGTCCACAATGGAGATTCTATGGTGTAAAGAAATACGAAATAAGATGACTGAATAACAAAGACGTTAAAGCACTTAAATCCCTTTTTATTGAAAAGAATGCATTTCGATGTAAGCCAGAGAGGATTTTATAGTCCGAATGTAAATGATTCCGATTTGGTTGCTTGCGTTAAAGTGATTCATTGGACTGCAAAGCTTTGGTTGTCCATTTAGACTAGAATTCTTATCTCCACTCATAATTAAACTAAACATATGTGTACCTTATGTTGATGATATATTTTTAGTTATATTAAAAGTAGTAATTTAGAGTAGTACTCACAAATTAATCCACAACATATTTGAAGACATTAACTTAACGAGAGAAGAAGAAACCAATGATAAGCTTCCATGCTCAGATGTGTTAACCAAGAGAATTAAAACAGAAATTTTTGAAACTCAAGCATGCAAGGAATCAACATACATACACAGATAACATACTAAATTATAAAGACAATAATCCTGGGATTCATAAATAGAAACTGTATGCAAACATTACTTAAAAGAGTTCAAACACAGTGTAGCACTACTCCAGTGTTGAAGAGGATAAAAAAGAAATATCCACTAGACATCTTCAAGAAGAACGAATACTCTCATACAATTTCAT